ACACACACACACACACCCAACACACACACACACACCCCAACACACACACACACACACCCCCAACACACACACACACACACACACACACACACACACACACACACACACACCCCAACACACACACACCCCCAACACACACACACACACACACACACACACCCCAACACACACACACACACACACACACACACACCCAAACACACACACACACACACACACACCCAACACACACCCCACACACACACACACACACACACACACACACACACACACACACACACACACACACACACACACCTGGTCCAGTCCATCAGTCCTCATTATTTTGAACACCAATTATAAAGTCTATATCATATTTTATCCTACTATTAATATTTTTATTATTAGTGATGAAACATACTCTTACAGCATAAGAGGCTGGTCATGTGAGTATATAATGAACAAATTAAAACAAACATATCCAGTATCAAATAGCCTCCCCCACACCAACAGAGAAGAGATTACTGTAATCTCTTCTCTGTGGGAATAAACTGCTCACTCACGAGTCCAAAAGGAGGAAAGGGGTCAAGGGAATTGCTTGTTGGTTGCAATTTAAATTGTCTGCTCACGGTGGGAATTTCAAACTACTGTATATAATATTTAAGGGTTTGGACAAATGTTTTTTCTCTGAAAGGGTCCAGACTTTCAAAGGTTTATTGTATAAAGACTGTTTATGATTATACAGTATTGTGGTTTTGGTTTGTTTGCTGGTTCTGTCCTTTTGAAAGTCAAATGCAGAATCAATGGTTATGAAGCATAATTATCAGAACTAATTATGTTGAATAAATCTTACAGGTGATGTGTATGCTTTTGGAATGGGCACAAACAACCAGCTGGCCCAGGGAGATGAAGAGGACCAGTTGTTACCCGTTAAGATGGGCGGTAAACAGTTGGCCGAGCGAAGAGTTGTGGCAGCACAAGCTGGAGGACAACACACACTTCTTCTTGCCATAGCAAAGTGATACTTGTAGTTTTAGGGTACATTTTTTTTTTCTTGTTGTAACGTAGGAATATTTTTGCTCAGTGGCACAGCAGAAAAAGTGCACAAATGCTTACCTTTATAACTTATTTGTACAAATTTTGTGTGGCAGTATGTGAGAATAACATGTGAGTAACTTAAAAAAGTAACTTTCATCTTGAACATGTATATGTGGCTAGTAAATGTTTATCATGAGAGTACTATAAATACTATAAACTAGAATGAGAAGGGGAGTGTAAATTGAAAATGCAGTTGTTAGGGAACTGACCTGATGAGAGGATACACTAATGTGTTATTTTGTTAGGGTTTATAATTTTAATATAAATTTTGCTTCTTCTCAAGTTTTTCCCTGTATTTTGGAGTTTCCTGCAATCAGCTTTTAAAGCACATTGCTAGTTTCTGTTAATAAGTTTGATTTTGTTAATTGGAACTATTTTTCTTTGAAATTTTGGGTTAAGACATGATGGATTCCAAAGAAGTACTGTAGTGTTTTAACTAATTTAATTTCATGTTTACAAGCCACTTAGATTATTAAATTTTTAGGTTATGTTGAATATTTTTGGTATTCATTGAAAGAAATTTTTAATTAATAATGCAGTATTGATTAAGGAAATAGACTGTCACTGACATAAAACTGTTGGTTTCTGCATATTCTAATAAAACAATTGTCACAGACAAACATTTTCTTTGCTTATACCACTTCAAAGATAATTACAGTAAAAACCCCATAATTCGTACTCCCCTAATTCGAAATCACTCATAATTCGTAATGTTTTGCCATTATGAAATTTTTTAAAATTGTTTTTAATATTTGGTAAAATTCTGAAATATATGAGAGATTTCACAATTTCAATACATACTGTGTATTACATTTGTTTTTAATATTTGTAAAATTTATATTATGAGACATTTAAGAATATGTATGACGCACATGTCACCATGGGATGCTACCGCTTGCCTCATTGTAAACAAGTATTCACATGTCGGTCAATCATGGGTCTACTGTGCAAGCTTTTTCCACTTGTTTTTCCATCATTGCCTAGTGTTTGAGCCATTATCTTCCCAGTGTTTGAACCATTATATCTGATATCCCTAAATCTGGAACTGTACTTAGAAATATTTAAATTTTGATTGGGCAGATATGGAAAAGTATCATTGTTTTGTTTATTTATCCCTTGGGAGAAGGTATTCCTTAATTCATAAGGGCTAGAGCCCCTATTACTTCGAGTTATGGGGGTTTTACTGTATGAGAGATCGATTATGAAAGAGGAATGAGTACTGTACTCAATACTCATTGCAACATTATTCAGGTGTATCTGATGCCACATAATTGTCAGAGGAAACCTGTTGTTCAGGCTAAGATTACTATAACAAACTTGCATTATGAGAATCAAATGACAAATAATGCATCAGTGCTGCCCCTCCAGTATAAATTACCTTGTTGAAGCTTTCGTTTATTTTGACCATATTCATTTCAAATGCAATGTGAAAATAATATTTTATTAGTAGAAGTAAAGTTAATAGAGGTATTGGCTGTTTATTCAATTGGACATAAACAAACCCATTTAACTTACCTTAAGAGAAATCTTATCTTGGAACTATAGATTATTTAAACCCTTCACTACGGTGATGCCAATTTAATATTTTATTTGGCTAGCACCAGATAATTTGAATCACCTCAGAGGAGAGGTGACTGTGTACACAAATGGTTAATGTTTGTTTGTTTTTCTAAGGATGCATTATTTTTCCTTATTTTGTTTAAGAATTAAAACAAATAGAGGTATGAGTTTGTGAGTGTTTGGAACTAAAACTTGATTTAACCTTACCCACAAAAGGAAATGTTTGGTTTTGTGAATTTCCTGTTTTCAGAGATCCAGTAGTGAGCTCAATATACTGAGGTTTACTGTTGGCAGTGGGTTAGCTATCTGAGATTCACTGGTGGCTGTGGGATAGCTTTCTTAAGTTCACTGTTAGTAGTAGGTTAGCTTTCTGGAGATTCACTGTTGGTAATGAGTTAGCTATTTGATGTTCATTATTAAGTAGAGATTTTAATATTGTAGGTTTGCTGTTTAGTGAGCTCTTAACATTGTTTTACTGATGGCAGCACTCTTGCTTTTGAAAATTCATTGTTGACAGTGAGATAGCTTTTTGAGGTTTACTGCTACCAGTGAGTCCTGGCAACTGTTTTTTTTTGGCCTTTCACTTTTTTCAGGTAGAGTTAACCTGACTTAATTTGTTTCAGGATGTTAATACAGAATTAATGTTTTACTTCATTTCAGTTACCCATCTTTGAATATTGTGCCCCAACTTGGTTCTCAGCTGTAGAGTGCCACTTAAAAATAATTTATAAGGTGTTGAATAGTACTGTATGGCCAAATACCTTCGTGATGAGGCTGACTGGGTTCTTAAATTTCAATGCATTCTAAATCAATTTTCTTCTATAACATCTACAGTATGATAATAAAAGGATGTTTCTCTCTGTGAGTGTGTGTTTATGTGTTCCAATCATAACTCCAAACTAAAAGCAGTTAGGTTGATTGATTGATTGATTTATGGAATTTAGGCTTATAAACCAAGCACTGGAGCCAATAGGCCTTTCAGCTCTGTATGTCAATTAGGGGATATTCCTTATATCAAAAAACAATTACAATCAATTAAAACAAAATTAATAACAGCTGATGCTTCGGGAAGGCAAAAATATAAAAATTTACTCGGTTTTCACCAAGAGATTGCTGGGCACAGAGAAGCATGCAAGGCTGTGTACTGCATACTTTTGATCAAGAACTAATTTCCAAATAACTTATTTATCCTTTTTTATGATGAACAACAATAACAATATCTCCTTCGTCATTTAAAGTTTTGTTGATGTAATATTGGATTTATCGTTCAAGGAAATGTCTCTCTTTTTGACGATTAAGAAACCTGCAGTCAACTCGGATGCGGTTGACTTGTTAGGTCAGTGTGATAGGAGTTGCAGCAAGGACCTGTTGCTCGCCTTCACTCTTAAGAATATAAATTACTGTACTGTCTGTGTGAGATGAGAGTGGTCAATCTTCAACCCTATTAAAATATCACTACTCCCTCCTGTTGAGAAAACAGGAGGAGGACCACAATTGAATAAAAGGCAAAATTGCTCGCAGTTTAATGTATTGTTGTCATGTATAACCAATGCTCTTGCCACTTCCCTTTAGCAAAAGAGCAGATTGACCCCTTCAGGTTACTATGTGGTTTATTGACACTCATAGGACAAGGGAGGCCAACTGCCTCCTTTTCTGTTAGGTCAATGTGTTCATTTCCTTAAATGCCCACACTTGAAGGCACCCAACAAAAATACACCCTTGCCTGTCTTCAAAAGTGCATGCACCTCTTAGAATAATGGGTGTGTGAAGATAAAACACTGAGAGTTAGTATGAACAACATACTGTCCCCCATTTTTGGTAGAGTTAAAAATGTGCTTTACTGCAGCAAGGACTGCTTGTAGTTCATGTAAAATTGTGTAAAAGGTAGTAATCTCTTTATAGTGAAATTATTGACCATTACTGAAAAACCAACACCATTCACTGACTTAGAGCCAACTGTAAAGATGTTGGTCTGGTGCGAGTACTAAATTCTGTGTTCCAGGAACTTGGCTTTGAGTTCCTCAGTAATATTCAACTGTTTCCCAGTCCTAACTGGACTAAACACAACTCAGGTTGGCACCAGGGAGGTGATTTGGAAACCGCGCAGGTATCCCTAGCTATGCAAACAATTGAGATACAAAAATTTGCTGAGGTGTGAGCTGTGTTGTGGTTGTTTTTCAGCCCGTAATTTCGGGTATATAAACATAACTTTCTTCATATTATTTTTATTCATTTAGATGCACACAATCCTACATACAGAATGGGCCCCCAAAAAAATTCATAGGTCGAAAACATAATGGAATAAACACTTCCTTGTGTGTTAGCGAAAGTTGGCAGAATGAGCTGGGGGAGTTATGTTCTGGTTATTATAGTAGACCTTGCCATTCGAGGGTTTGCGATTTTGACTTTCTTGGCAAGCAGATGGTGGCTATGGTGGCTAGCTTGTGAGCCTTTTCCCACAGCGCAACTAGTCACCCCATGCACCAGCAGCGCCTCTCTCTGTTAGCACTCAACCATTGCCTGTGATGCAGCATCTCGTGTTGTACTCTCAAAACTTTAGTGTTTCTGTGTGAAAATGGACCCTAAAAGACTGCCTAGTGTCAGTGCTAGTGATGCAAGTGAAGTGAAATGTAAAAGGCAGAAGTCAGTGATGACCCTGACAAAGAAAGTTGAATTATTAGATAAGTTAAAAGAGGGGATGAGTGCCAGGCTGGTCTATTGTTTGGTATAGGTATACACTAAGGTAGTATAAGTTTTGCAAAAGTTGACAGACTGATCCAAGATGCACTTGCTTGCTACAGGGAGATTTACAATGAAAAAAACTGCAAATTGTGCAGTCTAAATTGGGCATATATTTTAAGAAGTCCCCACTGCTGTCTCCTCACACCCCACCACTGTTGCCTCTTCACTCCCTAAATATGATCCAATACCTTCAACAAACAAGTATGTTAGTCTGTCTGAAGAAAGTAAAATTGATGACCCACCCAGCCCTGTCTCCTCCTCTACTTCATCCAATTAATGTAGTCTCCATGTTTAATTAAAAAATTATTGAGGCCCCGTGTGCATTCAGCTGACTACAATAAAGGTAAGTGCACAGTAACACTTTATTCATTTTTCATTATTGATTGCTTTTACTGTACTGTATTTCATTTTAGATTTCCTATGTATTATTTTCGCCTTATCGACTTATTAATTAATTGACTTTTGACCTGGTCGCCGGACGGAACCCTGTCATAAGTCGAGGAGAGACTGTACAGAGTTGGCAAGAAACACAAAATACAGTTTGGCTGACAAGGCAAAAATTTAGTTTTTTTGGGTTAATAAACTTTTTCTCTGTTGTTTTTAGTTTTTATTTAACTTTATCTGTGTTATTTTCGTTGGTTTATTAGGATATTGCTTTATTACAGGAAGTAATTCGCCAAAAAAGTAGGGTATATAAGGAAAAATTTTGCCAAACATCGAAAGTACCAGATTCAAATTAATTTTCTCCATAGGAAGTTGTATTTAAATTTGGACGATTTGAATTTTTGCAGGTTTTTACAGTCTAAAAAGGTGTCCAAATATGAGAGCCTACTGCACTTAAAACATACATTAAGGTATATAATTATTTTACATTAAGTTCACTACAACTACAACAAGGTTTTTTTTCTTCAGTTTCTTATGTAGAACCATCGTCACACGTAAACAATGCCGTCTTGTCTCCTCATGTGTTTTAATGTTATAATGATATTTATGAATTGCATTGTTCATTTCACATATATAAGCATTAATTCAATCAAATACATATTCAGTAATAAACAATAAGGAATCTTTTGTGCATATTCTTAAGATAAATGACAATGTTTCCTTGAGTGCTGACGCACTGTATACATTGGTGTTCCACTATCAGTCTCACTTTTTTCTTTAATATCAGTGGTTACTTCTACTGTACATTAAATAACATTAATTAAAACACATATTTTTTACATTAATTTTACTACAACAATAACCAGGGTCTTATTTTCTTCAGTTTCAGGTGGATAACTGATGTTCTAGGCCTTTTAACTGCTGATTCCGTCTGGGTTAATGAGGCCGGAACATTTATATTATACAGTATTACCCCGCTTAACGCGCTTTCACTTAACGCTTCGATATACGCGGTGCCTTGCCAAAGCTGAACTTTCACTTAACGCGGCATTTTTCATCATATATGCGGTGAGTGTCCGGCTCGAGAGCTATTTTGTCGCACCACCCCCACCCGCCACCCTGCCTGACTGCCTGTTTTAGCTCATAAAATTCATACAAATTCATGCCAGAATATAATTTACATTGCAAATGCTTATAATTTGGTGATCATTTTGAATATAAAACATATATTTTGTATTAAACATACAATTTTTAGATAAAATTGTTCTCAAGGTAATTATGTTATCTTTGTCCAAAATATATGACATTTATATTAAAAATATTCCTGGTCTTACAAGAATCCAGCAATGTCAATTATATTATCCTAACTTTAGTTTGAGGTATTATTTATTAAAATTTTAGTGGTTATCCCACACATCTCCTTGGGACGGTTGGTGGGGGTAGGAGGGACCGACCGACCGACCATCTGTTACCCCGAAGAATTATTTTTTTTTTATTAACTGAAGATATTTGTTTTAGCTCATAAAATTCATACAAATTACCGGTCAGAATATAATTTACATTGCTGGAATTTTTATAATTTGGTGATCATTTTGAATATAAACAACATAGCAGATAAACATACAATTTTAGATAAAATTGTTTCTAGGTAATTATGTTATCTTTTGTCCAAAATATATGACATTTATATTCAAAATATTCCTGGTCTTACAAGGAATCCAGCAATGTCAATTATATTATCCTAACTTTAATCTGAGGTATTATTTAATACTAAATGTTAAAAACTTGAATGGAGGATTGGTGGGGGTGGGGGAGGGTTGGGACTGACCACGCGGTTGGAAGAGGGGGAAGGGCAAGGGTACTTTGATTGACAGATAGTGTCGAAGAATATTTTTTTTTTATTAACTGAAGATATTTGTTTTAGCTCATAAAATTCATACAAATTATCCGCCAGAATATAATTTACATTGCTGGAATTCTTACAATTTGCTGATCATTTGAATATAAACATCATAGATTTTGCATTAGACATACAAATTTTAGATGTAAAGTTTATTCTGAGTAAATATGTTATCTTTTGTGAAAAATATATGACATTTATATTCAAAATATTCCTGGTCTTACAAGGAATCCAGCAATGTCAATTATATTATCCTAACTTTAGTTTGAGGAATTATTTATTACTATACCTGGTTTTCCCCAATTTCTCAGAGGGAAGAGCCAGTGAGTGTAGTGTGAGAAGAGGGGAGGGAGTTGAGTCCATTATTTGAATGGACATTAACTTATGACTGTATTTTCATTTCTCTTAAGTATTAATTGTGCATGTACCATCATAAAATTAAGATGTTATTTTTACTACAACATAGTTATTTGTCGTCAAAAAGTGGAGTTTGGGGGTCGGGCTGGGTTCTATTGGAATTAATCCCATATGTTCTGTTATTCACTTAACGCGGTTTTCACTTAACGAGGGACCCTCTGGGTTCAATTGACCGCGTTAAGGGGTATGAACTGTATAGGGTTTCAGTAGCGAAACCCAATTGTCTGTTGTCCGTTTATTCAGGAACTATCTAGAATACAGTTCCAAATGTATATCTGTAACTTATCACTGTAACTATGAGTGGTAAGAGGAGGACGGAGGCTATGTTAAATAGTCCTGCAACACGTCTGATCTGTGGGGGTTGAGTAACAATGCTGATGAGTAGGAACCCATCGAGGGAGAGCAGAAATATGTACGTCGTT